CTTTAGGAAAAATGCCATTGCCGCAGGACAGCGCTGGGGAAGGGGCAGCGCTCCCCTGACAAGACTTGGAACAAAGCTGAACATTTGGAAGCCAGTCTCTGTTGGTCTGGCCTTGAATTTTTGATCAGGGAATGGCATTCCACTTGCCAGGAGGGACCCTGCGGTCACCCCATTGGAAACGAGACCCCTCTCCTCCTCGCGGCAACAGCAGCTGCTCCACCAGGTCAGTCGTGATGAAGAAATTAGAGAATCTTTTCTCTTGTCTGCATTTGGTACCGAGTCAAAAATTTTTTTCATTGCAAAACTGTGACGTGTAACTACAAGTGAGGTGCTTTCAGAAATGGCTACAAATTCAAAACCTATGGGTATCCATGCTGAGCAATTCAGAAGGAAGCGAGACAGCCTGCCTCATCGGTACAGTGCTCCTGTCTCGTACTTACAGCACTTATTCTGTGTTTCAAACAATCGCAGAAGAACCTCGCGCAGTGTCTTGTAGAGCCAAGTAGTCATTAGATATCAAGGGTGAGAAGTTTAAGCATAGCGCTATCTTCAGCGTTATAAAATAGAGGTGCTTGTGCAGATAATATCAGCCTACTCAGCAGAAGGCTATTCCTTTATATTTCTTACAGTTAATTTAGGAGATACTATTACATTTTGGAAGCAGGAAAGTTCTCATCACCAGCATGGCTTGTTTTATATAAAGCAACCAGAGAAACTGAACACACACACACACACACACAGAGTATCGTGCTTGTGATCACGAAATGCCTGCTCCTGAGAAAACAACCTGCAGAAACTGTATCTAACAGGAGGGGAAAAGACGAGGAGAAAGAAAGAGCACATGTCCCATTCCTGAGCAAGATCTCGCCAGAGGAAAATTACCAAATTCGTTGAGCCCAAGCCATTTTAAAAAGTGTAGCCCAAGGACAAAACACACAGGTAAAGGCTACTAAATTATGTTCCCCCACTCATGCAACGAGCTCTAACTTTATCTACACCAAGAGTTGAGCTTCCAGGACAAAGCCCATCCTTTTCATGTCCACCAGCTCCACCTGCGTGACTCCATCAGGCTACCAAAAGAAGGGAGGAAACGTTAGGCCAAGCGATTTGTAATTCAAATATAAATTAATTACTCATTCCTCACTAAAGATTCAACATCAGGCGGTGGTGTTGAAGTGCCCTATGATTAGGCAGTCATTTACAAAACATACCTCCTTTTGTCATGATCTTATGAATAATTAAATCTAGGATGCGGTTATAATGAAATGAACAAACTATTGCATTTTATCTCAGTCAGGAATTAGAAAAACTAAATAATTCATAACAGGACTCACAGTCATTAGCATGGATTTAGGATATTTTGATTACACATTAGCAAGAACAATCAGATACATGCTGAAGATCACACAGCTTCTACGCTGGATGGAGACTTTAAGCTATACGTACCCAGACTTTGAAACACTTAAACACCCAAACAGAGCTTTGTTTATTTGGAGCTTTCAAAATATCAGCAGCTTTGGAAGTAGATTTGCATCTGCTCAGAGAAAACAAAGTCTTTTTATTTAAAAACACCATCATCCTGAATACTTGTTATACTGTGTGCATCTTTCATACTTCACAGAGTCATTTAACAACATACCTGTTAAAGAGATAATTTGCTATTTATGAATTTCCCGACCAGGGGAGGAAAAAAAAAAAAGTAATTTATTTCAGGCTGTACCATAAAACAGCATCGTGTCTCCTCACTTGTTTTCAATTTAGTAACTTATCTCCTGTGATTATCATTCTACATCACTCTGAAGATATGAACTAAACTACATTTTGGCCTCATCTCAAAAGCTTGTGTATTGTCTTTTAGAGTCATTTCAAATTTAATTCAAATATTTAGAGGAACATTTTTCCCCGGAGAATTTTAACTTGTCCTTGCCTGTGCCAGAAAGTCATGTTGCCTCCATGCCTGGTTCAGCCCCAGCTCGGGTGGGACAGCCTCCCACCAAGGTTCTCCACAGCCCCGGGATGTCCCTGCAGACTCTGCCTCCTGCTACCCAGGAATTTCATTTTTTGGCTAGAAAAATCTGGTGGTGGCAGCGGGGAAAGTGTATTTGAAAAGTTTAGCTGAAGCTCAGATGTTACACTGAGGAAAACACGCAGCTAAAGGCTACTAAATTATTTTCCCCCGCTCGCACAGCAAACCATAACCTCGTCAAAATAGCAAAGGAGACAAAAGGGATTTTCAAAAGCCTCCTCCCCTTCCCCACCCACCCCCGGCGCTCACAAACAACGTTTTGAGAGCGATAAAACCTCAGCCAGCTCTACCACTGGCCAACAAGGGATAGAGAACACTGCGGTTCCCTGCCAGAGCTTGCTTTGACACTGAAGTGTCACTAATTTCAGCTTCACCCGGATTTCCACTCAGAACATTTAAGCGTTTCAACCCCTCTGACCCCACCGCTTACTTCCACTGGCGCTTCAGCTCTGCAGGACATTGATTTGCACCGATTCCCTGAGTCCTGTGGTGCAAACAACCGCTCTCGGAGCAGTGTGTCGACTCGCCGGCTGAGCCCGTGGGCATGTTTCACCCACCCCTCTCCTGCTCCGAATGGTTCTTTTGCTGGAGCAGGACCCAGATGGACAGACCCCGAGACCTCGGCGCTCCCTCGCGTGACGCGAGCAGCGAGCACAGCCCCGTCACTAATCGATCCATCCCAGCCTCCCACACACAAGCAGCAAGCCACAGGTTACATCTTGGCCCTTAGCTTTAGCAGTACCACGACTTCATTCAGTTAAACAATTATTTTCCTTTCTGCTAAAATTATATAGGAGCTGTGACACATGAAAGCATCTTAGAGAGTAATTTTTATCTACAGAAAGACCCACGCGGGCAGACACAGTGCAGGGACCTGCATATAACCATTTGCTATTGGTAAAGCTCCAAACTAAGTATTATTCCCAAGGAATATTACCTATCAGCCAGGGAAAGTCAGTGCATGGTGTTCCAGATGAAGCATGCACCACTGGGAAGACTGGCATTGCAGGGGCAGTGCGATATCGTCAGCAACATCTCACTGCTGGCTTTAATTTCAGCTGTTAATTGCTGGATCAGGACTCACAGGCAAAGAGGTAACGCTCATACCTCCACAACTGAGCTGAGCTCTTGCTCTTAGGATGAATCATGCAATTTCAGCCCCTGTACCCAAGGAAAATAATTTATCTTCCCCAAAACTACTTAGTCTCGGGGGAAAGGGGGGGTGAAAACCAACAAACAACACAGGACCTTGTGAAGAAATGAGCTTGTGTACCGAGATTAATTTTGATGTGGAAGCTTCTAGAAATGAGGCACTCCATTAAGACGCGTCTTCATTTTGAGGATCTCATCGCTCATCTGCACGGGAAGCCGACAGCCGTGACGCTCCAGCTAGAGTGTAATTTGGAAAAAAAGCGACAGCACAAACTGCCCGAGTCCTGAGCCGGCGCAGATGAGCCACCCCGCTGAGCATCACCTGCCTGAAGGCAGCAGCAGCCTGCAACACGTCAGCCTAACGAACCGGCCTCCAGAGCAGTTAATGAGCGGCCTTGAGAGCGGCGGTGGTACGTTGTGACTTCCCGAGTAGCACAGTGTGAAGGCAGTCAGGTTGCTTTCACCTGCTGCAACCTCCCTCAGCCACCAGAAATGAGCAGAAAAAGCACAAGGAATGGTCCAGAGCAGACCGGGAGCAGTTTCCAGCACCTCTCCCTGAGCACACGCGGTTAAGGAAGGGATCGAAGCGGAGCGCTGCTTGTCCTGTCAGTGCCTGTGACTTGTTTCCCACTCCATTACAAAGAAACCAAACCAACCAACAAAAAGCACCTTGAAAATATGCTTGTAG